GAGAGAGAGAGAGAGAGACAGAGAGAGAGTTTTTTTTATCCTGGAGTAATTTTTCGTGCTTTTAAATTCTTAAAAATGGTATAAAAACTCTTGAGGTTCTTACTTTTTCCTTTTGGTTTTTCGAAAAAAAAAAATATATTCTGTTGTTGTAATTTTTTTAACATTTATGTTTTTCAACACATTATTATTATTATTATTGTTATTATTATTATTATTTATTTATTCAAAATAAAATAAAAACCCTACGTTGAATTGCATGTAATAAAAAAAAAGAAAAAAAAAATTTATTCGGTTTTTTAAAAAAAGTTATAATCGTGGCACGAATAATAATAATAATGATAAATAAAAACAGAAAACAAACAACAACAAAAACATTAAAACATAATTTAATAAACAGAAAACACACACACACATGTATTACATTTATTATTATTATTATTTTTTTGTTCGAAAACGATTTATCATCAAATCATTAAATCGTCATTTCTTTTTCTCTCTCTCTCTCTCTCTCTCTTTTTCTCTTTCTTTCTTTTTCAAAAAAAAAAATTCTTTTTTTTTTTTTTTTTTAAAAACTTAAAACTTTTTTTTTTTTTTTTGTAAAATTTAATTCATTCGAAATTCTAGTGCCACTTTAAGGTATAATATAACGATTTCGATAAAATTGATGAAATGATTATAAACAGAAATTTTTATCGATATATCGAAATCGATAATAATTTTTTTATTATAAAAATTTTTTTTAATCTTTTATATTTATATCGAATTGATTTATTATTTGTTTTTAATGGTTTTATATATCGAGAGTGGGGAGGTGCGCGTGCGTGCGTTCGTGTGCGTGTGTTGGTGTTAAGGTAATAAAACGCATTATAAATTATTCATAAAAGGAAATTTTTTTTTTATATATAAAAATATTATTATTTTTTTTTTTTACTTAATATAGACGCGGGATTTGGTTGTTTTGTGTATGAAAAATTTATGAATAAATTTAAGCTTTTCTATTTCTCACACTTTTTTTTTTTTTTTTTTTACTTTTCTTCTTTCTTCTTCATCTTTCTTCTTTCTTCTCCTTCTTTCTCTTCTTCTTCTATTTTTTTTTAAGCATTATATATACGTACTCATAAAAAAAAAATTTTTTTTTTTTAAATTTGTTTCGTTGAAAATTCTTTTTTTTTTTTCTTTTTTTTTTGTTGATGTTAAGGAAGTTAAATAAGTTTTTAAAACCTCCCCCCTTCCCCGGGTTGTATTTTTTATCACGCGATTAAATATCATAACATTAAGATTAACAACCGGCAACAACCGACAACAACCAAGAACAACAACAGCATCAAAAACTCAAAACTCTTTCTTTTTTATTATTATTATCAATCAAACGAACGATTTAGATTATTTTAGAAAAAAAAATTATTTTTTCAAATGATATGAAATTTTTTTTTTTTTTAATAAATAATAATAATAATAACAATGATAATAATAATGATAATAATAATGATAATAATAATGATAATAATAATGATAATAATAAGAAAAATAAATAAATAAATAAAAAAAAGAGGAAAAAAGGAAATGAAAGTTTTCATTTCGCCACTTGATTTTTCCAGTTTTCTTTTCTATTTATTTATTTTTTTTTTTATTTCCTTTTTGTCGCTGCTGTTGTAGTTGTTTTTGTTTTTGTTGCTGTTGTTTTTCGTTTTGTTTTGTCTAAATCAAATTCCCTTTTTTTGAATGGGTAAACATCACGGGGGGAAGGGGGAGAGGGAGAAAGGAAGGGGGTGGGAATTTTTTTTTTTTTTTTAAATAAAACAAAAGATAATTACGAAACAGGAAAAAACAAGTTTTTGAAAAAAAAAATTAAACAATAAAGATATAAAATGTTGTTACAGGAAAAATTTATATACATAAAACAACAACAACTCGACATGCATTAAATACGTTTTAATATTAAATTCCGGTTAAATAAATTATATTAATTATTATTATTATTACCATCATTATTATTAACGTGAAAAAATAGAAAAAGAGAAATATAAAAATGAATGGGCGTAAAATTGGGGGGAATGATGATAACGAAGGATGGTGAAAGAAGAGAAAAGCGGCGGAGTGTTTAAAACACCCGAAAGAAAAATTTGGTGTAAATAATAATAATAATAATAATAATAATAATAATAATAATAATAATAATAATGATAATTAATTTTATTCTACGAAAAATCAAACGTGGGATTTTTTTTTTTTTTTGGGGGGGCGGGGTCACGAGTAGGAAACGGAGAGTGAAAAACATTTTAAAACGTAAAAGTATTTGTTTGGCTTAAAGAATTGTAATAATAATAATAATATGAGATTGCGAGAAGGGGGAGGAGGAGGAGGGGAGGCGGGAAAGAAGGAAAGAGAGGGGGGTCAATAAAATTTTATTAAAAAAAAAAAAAATTATTATTAATCTTCAAAAGAATCAATAATACTTTAAACTAGAACAAAAAAAAAATTCTCTCGTAGTTTGATTTTTTTCTTTTTTTTTTTCAACAACGTTTTCACATTTGATGGATTTCGAGTTATGAAATCGTAGAAAAAAATGAAAACGATAAAAAATAATAATAATAATAATAATAATAATAATAATGATAATGATAATAAATAATAAAATAACATTGTTTTCTAAAGTATTCAATTATGATATTTAAAATTAGTTTTCTTGTGTCTTAAAAAAAAAAAAAACAAACAAACAAACGAACGTACAAACGCTCCAGGTTTTTATTTAAATGTCACAAACACCTGAAAAAAATAAACTTTTATTAAATTTATTTCGTGATTTGTCTCCTTCCCCCTCCCTCCCGCCCTCTCCCCGAATAAAAAAAAAAAAGTCGCAAAACATTTTTTTTCCAGAAAAAAAAAAATAAAAAATTGGAAACTTTATTATTATTATTTTTTTTTTAAAAAACTTTTTCTACTGTATTATTTTCGATTGGGTTATATCAAAATTTTTTACGACGTGGTTTTAGAATAATTCATAATTAATTTGAAATATTATTATTATTATTATTATTAATATTAATATTATTATTTTCAATATCGTAATGATTAAGTAACGTAAAGAGAGTTACGACGAGATTCGAAAATGATTAAATTTTCTTTTTTTTCTCGTGAAATTTTTTTTTTCTTTTTCTAAATCATCATCATCATCATCATCATTATTATTATCATCATTTTCCCTTGCCCCCCGCCCCCCGCTCCCTCGATTTAAATCCGCATTAACTTTTCTATTAAAATTTGTTTACCGTTAGAAAAAATTTATTTAACGTTGGAAAATTTTACACCTTGAATGAATGACACACACGCACACACACAATCGAATTTAGTTAAGAATGAAAACAACAGCAAACAACAACAACAACAACAACAACAACAATGTAAACCACTACCACCACCACCGAATGTATATATATATATATCTACGAAAATCGTCTGCTTTTGTCATCGTAAGACCCCAAAGGATATCATTTATCTTGAGCTTTCTCTTCTTTATGACAATATTGATTTTTGACTTGGACTGAAATTAATAATCATTAGTCAACTAAAAATACCCTCGGCTTGGTTCTTCCCCTTCCCTCCCCTCCATCCCTTCCCTTTCCCCCTCCTTCCGTTTTCTTTTACTTTTTACCTTTTTATAAAATGACGTCAAGACGTTGATTTAAAGTTTTTTTTTAAATGAAAATAAAGTAAAAAAGTAAACAATTAAAATTAATTAAACGTAACGAATTTTTTAGTTTTTTTTTTTTTTTTTTTTAAACTGAAAGTTAATTTTTTAAATAAAGTTTTTAAGTATTTATTAAGTATAAGATTATAATGATGATAATGATGATAATAATAATGATGAAAATTTCTTTTTAAAAATACGTTATAAAGTTATTATTTTAATAAAAACGTTGTTGCTGTCGTTGTTGTTGTCGTTGTTTGTGTGCGTGCTGTTTTTCCGCGATATCGACTATCATCGTTTATCAATTAACATTTATTATTATTATTATTATTATTATTATTATTATTATTATTATTATTATTATTATTTCAAATCGTGGAAATATAAATTTTATTTTTAGGTTTTTATATGAAAATTCAAAAAAAAAAAAAAAATGGGGGGAAAAAATGGGAAAAACCAAGTGAAAATTTATTTATTGTTTATCTCAAAACTTATTTATTTATTTTTTTTACGAAAAAAAAAAAAAATAAATAAATATATATTATTTAACTGATGGGAATTTAATATTTAAAAAAAAAAAAAAAAAAAAAAATCAATAACTTTTTGGTTTGTTGCTGTTCGCGTAAAAAAAAAAAGAAAAGTTTAGGGAGAAAAAGGAAAAAAGGAAAAAAAGGAAAAATAATAAACGTGGTTCGATTTACAAAACCTTAAAAAATGAAAGCTCACGTATTGCGCAAATATAACATAAAGTTTCAAAACAAGTTCAAACATCTACTTTTTGATTTTTTCTTTTTTTCTTAACTTTTCTTTTTTTTTTCTTTTCTTTCCTTCGCCGTTTCCTTTTTTCTTCGAACCTCTAGTTTCAATCTTTTTTTTTTT